TGTGTGGGGTGTAACGGGTCAGGATGTGTGGGGCTGGGGGATGCAGAGGGTCCGGGCGGGTGGGGCTGTGGGCTGTGAGGGGCTGGATATGGGGGGCTGAAGCGGGGGGACAGTCGCATGGTGTTAGGCCTTGGCTGCCTGTGGGAAGCGGCACTGGCACCAACCGGCAGCTGCCCGTGTTCCCCCGTCCCATGCCGCCGTGGGGCGGGTGGTCCCCACAGCCCTGGCGCTTCCGTCTTTCCCAGCCAGCGCTGGACTTTGCACCCCGTTTAGGCTGCCCCATGACCAAAGCCTGCCGCCGCTTTTAGCTCCTGGAGGGGGGAGCTCCCTGAGCCTCCCATGCCAGGCAGTGCTGGTGGCGAGGCGGTTTTCTGTCCTGCCGCCCCAGCAACATACAGAAAACATGTGTGTACACCACTCCCCGCTCAGAAACACGGGATCGGGGGGGGGGGGAACGGGCCAGAGGGCGCCATTAGCGGCATGGGGATGTGACCAGAGGCTTGAGGGGCTACAGCTTGGCTGTGTGGGGGAGGGGGGAACCCCCCTCTGAGAGCCTGAAGTGGGTCAAAATCCATCCCTGGTGGTGACCCGAGTCTGCCATAGCCGAACGCGTGCCGAATCTCAAGCAGAGAGTGGCAAAATCCTCATTGGCTGCATCTTTTGGGAGTGCAGCTGCACCGAGGTCGCAAAATGTGGCTCATAACTCACTTCCCTCTCCCCCCCCATCCCCAGGCCTGTGCTTGGAGCCTGAGACGCCCAGGTGGAAGAAACCGTGACTGCGGAGGCCAAAATCGGGGTGAAATCGGGAAGGTTTGTGCCCTGCATTGTCAGCATTTGCCCCCATTATGGCTAATAGCAAGGGGAAGGTTGGATCCTGCTGCGCGAGGAACCCTCAGGCTTCTCCAAGCAGGAGGGGCCGGGGCGTTTATTTTGTTTGCCAACCTGTTGCTTGGGGAAATCCATATTGCTTTGGATCCCATTTTTCAATCCCAATCCCCATTTCAGCCCTCTCACTGCGTCCACTGTCAGCAGCGAGTTCGGATGCCAAAAAAAAAAAAGTTGCCTTTTAAAGATTATTTATCGTTTTTTTGGGGGTGCTGAGCTCCTGCTGACCCGCTTCAGGGTGCTGTGACCAGTTCCGCCAGCTTCCCCTGGTTTTTAGAAATGAGGAAGCCAATGGAGCAGCCGCCTCTTTCGGATTCTGCTCTCCTCCTGAGGAGGGAATTGGGGGAAATCTGCCAAGGTTTGGCTTCGGGATCTTTCCGCGCCTGCAGGCGGAAGCTGAAGTAATGCTGTCACATGCTTTGCCTTGAGAGGATCTGGAGAGGCGCTTTCCTGAAGGGGGAAGACCCCCACCCTGGCACACAATTCCTGGAAAAAGGGGTTTCTTTTGGTACCTCTCATTTTTTTGTAACCCAGGCAAACGTTGCCCCGCACCCAAAACAGCAGCTTTTTGGGGCGAGACCTACTTGTTTCACCTCTCTGCTTGCTCCCCGGGGTGTGGGATGGAGGGAACCCTCATGACGGGGACGTGGGGAGCAGAGCACAATGCTCAAAAAGGCTTTTGACCCAGCCAAAGTGCCAGGGTTTGCTCTGCAGGTTGGTTTCCTTTGCCATATCACGGCATGGCGGCACGGGGCTGATCCTGTCCCTTAGCAGGAGAGGTACTTCTCTCCATGCTGTGTTTGGCATCGATATGGCACGGTGGAGCTCTTTGGACGGAGGGCGCAGCTTTGGCACAGCTCTCTTGCAGCCTTGGGTTCGTTAAAAAGGCGAAAAGCCCCACTCAGCTGCGCGGCGAGCTTGCTGCGAGCTCGCTAAGCCGAGAGAGCAAAGACACATGAGAGTCCTGGCCCTGAGTGAGAGTTCCTTGCGGTGTTTATTGCCGTTGGAGGAAGTCGAGCTGCGGCAGTGAGATCTGCTTGGCCTTTGTCAGCAAAAAAGGAGCTGGGGAATCGGTGCCGGATTTTGCCGGGAGAGATTGGGGAGAAGAACTGGGAGGGTGGGAGCGATGCCAGCGCTGTGGGGTGGGGAGACCCGGAGGGATCCGGCTTTCCCGGTCTCACCGACAGATCGCTTCCCCCCCCGTCCCAGGTGATAACAGCCACCCTTCCCGCACTGCCTTCGGAGCTCGGCACCGAGTTATGCTTCATCTGACAGCGAGGTGTGTAATCCCAGTGTTGGAGTGGAGGGCGCCCAGTTACCCGACTGGGAGAGACTGGTGATGGGGTGCTCTGCACTTTGCTAATGCTTGTTTTTATTTATTTCTCTGTTTCTTCCCAGCTGGGGCGTGTTCGGGGGCTGTCGCCATGTCTCTGTGCCAATGCACGGTGAAGCACAGCGAGTCGGATGCCGAAGGCTGTTGCTTCTTGGCGAGCAGTGGCTTGAAGGTTTGCCTGCACTGGAGTGGCGAAGAGGAGCAGGAGCGGTGCCAGACCTACGCCCAGGGCACACTCAGCGCCGAGGAGATCTGCATCGACCTCGCACGAAGGATCGGTGAGCACCGGGGAACTCCGTCTCTCATCTGAGACCACAATACCCAACCGGCTTGTGTCCCGGGGCTGAGAAATTTCCAGTTTCCCAATCTCTGGGTCCATCTAAGCTGCTTTATCTGAAAATCTGAGCTCTTGTGTTGTTTTTAAGCAGCAGCTTCCCAATAACTGGCCATTAGCAAACCCTTCTGTCATAATTTGGGCATCCTCGCTTGCTCCAGAGTTCCTGAGAAGCGGGGTGGCATGGCTCTACCCCAAGGCTCAGGCCAACGGGTCTGGGAGTTATTGGAGCGTGATGAGTTGAAGAGCAATTACTTCACCTCTGACTCATCAGCATCCCCGTTTAATGAGCACTCTGCCTCCCCTCGCCATGGATTTCTCCCGGCGGGCTGCAAAAATCGTGCAGGGCACCTGCGCTTGGGCTTTTCCTGGTCTGAGGGGCCATTTCACAGCCATGTTGGTTTGAATTAAGGGTAGCTGATGTCTCTTCTAACTTTTAGACAAAGGTTTTAGCTCTCCTAAGGTTTGACTGGCAAATCACTCAGTTCACCTTTTCCATGGGTTTTATTAACTTCCCTTCCCCTTGCTGCAGTCTAAGCAGCTCTGCACGGCGGTTTCTTTGGAATAAAAGCTGCTGAGGCTCCCCTGGCCAGCTGGCTTTCCCCGAGCGCGCCAGAAGGACGGCAGACGTGCCGCTCTCTTTTAAATGGCGTTTTTAAAGACTATCCTGCTTCTGACATTTGCGAGCAGGGACGAGGAGGATGTCTCGGTCCCTGGAGGTGGGGTGTCAGTAGTGTGGATGGGTTTGTGCTGCCAGAAGAAGCGAGCAGTTGGGAAGAAAGGGGTGAAGAAGGGGTTGGGGGTTTTTTTTCTATCGACTGTGAATTTTTGCAGGCTCGACAGCACCTCAGGGGAATCATGTTTTCTTCGCAGGCATCACGCCGCTGTGCTACAGCCTCTTCGCCCTCTATGACACCCAGAGCCGAGTCTGGCTCCCGCCCAACCACCTCTTCAAAATCAGCAAAGACACCAACCTCAACCTGCTTTTCCGCATGAGGTGAGGACAGTTCCCTCCCCTCCGTCCCCTGCTGCCGTGTTTTTTGGAGCCCTGCGGAGCTGCCAAGCTCCTCTTGCTTGCGGAGCAGAGACGTGCCAGGCTTTAATAGGGCTGCACTGGAAATAATGTTGCTTGCTTTTCTGCCCCCGGGTTACCTGTTTCCAGATTCGCCTGGAAAATGTTTGTGGAGGTTGGCACAGGGTTGGGGAACCAAGCAAACTCAGCAGGGCTGGTCTAAATCGTACTCGGAAGGATTAAATGAGGAACAGGACGTGTTTGGAGCCCCTGCCTCTCCTTCAGTGTGGAAAAATTCCTTTCCCAGTTCCTCATATTCCTCCGCCGTTTGCCCTCCGTCTCCCTGACTGGTTCAGCCTGTGCTTCCCCCTCTCAGTTCTGTCCCCGAGCGGGACAATGTCCCCTTTGAAGTGTTTTGAGACCAACAGCAAACACCCAAGGGCTCCTCAGAGCAAGCCCTGGGCTGTGGCATTGCCAGCTGGGTTCCCAGGAAGGCAAGAGCTGTTTTTTGTAGATGTCTTTGCAAGATACTCGGGTTCCCTGGAGATGACGGGGACGACGATCTTAGTGTTTCCTCCCAAAACATTGCCACTGGCGATTTTATTAGGAGAGCTTTTTCAGGCTAGTTTGGTTTTGGGGTTTTTGGGTTTGTTTTTTTTCATGGTGTCTGAGTCATAGCGAAGGTAAAAGCGAGGGAGAAACAGAAAACCTGGCTTGGAGATTTATTAGCCTATTTTATACGACTTGCAATACCTTCTTCTTCCTGGGGAACCGTGGCGTATTGGGCCAAGGCCTCTCTCCTCAGCCGTCCGTCGCGCCAAACACAATCGGTGCGGCAGAAAACAGTCTCTGAGGCACCAAGCCGGCTTCCGTGCCTGGCCGGGACATCGTTGCACGCGTAGCTGTACCGTGTTGTCCAAGGAAGGTTGAAATGGGAGCCACACTTCCCAGTGTGCAGGGAGGAAGGCTTTGAGTCCTCGTGGCCAGCACCTCCACATCCCTCGGCTCCACAGGAGGAGAGTGCCATGATCCGTAGCTCTCTGACCGCAGATAAGTTGCAGAGCTCTGACTTTTTGGGTCAGAAAGTCCTTTTCCTTCGGCTCTGGTTTCGATGCCACTTGGCTGGCACAGGCGCCTGCAGCGCGAGCGCCGAAATAACCCCGGCGTGTTAACCGCAGGCAGAGATGCGGCTTTGGGGGTTGAGCGGTGGGAACGGAAACTCACTCTGCCCGCAGAGCTCTCTTTGTGCTGATGTTTTTTTAGATGTGGCGTTTTGTGGGGGGGGCGCTCCTCGCCCCAGCTGCTCTCATTTTTTTGGGGCCCCTGGGCTGGCAGCATGAAAACTTGGCTGCGAAACAGCATTGTGGGGAGCACTGCTGCTAAAGAGGCGTTTGCGGGTCAGGATTGGTTGCAGCCAGAGTTAATTAGGGTCCCTTTCATGAAGCTCTGCTGATGGATTCGGATTCAGCGTGCTGTACGGCACAGCTGGTCATAAAATGTAGAGGAAAAAGCTTAAAGGAACCCATTTTGGTGGCAGGAAGAGGTTGCTTCCCCTTTGCCTCCCGGTGTCTGAATTGTTGCCTTGTGCTCAGGTCACATTTTTTGAAGACATGGCTGGTTCTCCTGTTGGCAGTGGGATTTCAAGAAGTTTGGCTCTTAAAAAAAACCCCAAACCTAAAACCCACCACTCTGAGCCTAGAGTGCAGCCCCTGGCTGTGCTGGGGTAGGACAGAGCTCTCGTCTGCTGGTCCTTTCCCCTGTCCCCTTGAGACAGTCGGTGAGAAAACCTCTGCAAAACCCTCTTTGGGACCTGGCTCCAGTCCCCCAGCAGCCTCTGGGGAAGGAGCAGGCAGCTGTGTTGGATGGAAGGAGCAGATTTATGGGTAAAATGAGCCTCAAGCAGGTCCAGGGCAGCCACTGGACCCAGGTTTAGCTTTAGAGGCAAAACCAGGGCGTCTTTTTCGGCCGCTTTCAGCTGCAAGAGAGCGTAGGGACAGACCACACGCCTCCCGTCCCCGCGGGCGAGCACCGCTCTCCTCTCCTTCTCCCCTCCAGGTACTACTTTCGGAATTGGCATGGGATGAACGACAAGGAACCAGCGGTTTATCGCAATGTGCCCCGACAGAGCGATTCCCCCGATGAGAAGCTGCAAGGAGGAGCCTTGCTCGACAAATCGTCCTTCGAGTATCTGTTTGAGCAGGTAACAAACCAGGCTGACGGGCTGGAGGCTCGGTCGCACCTGGAGTTGTGGAAACCTGGGTGATTTTCTTGATCCAGCTGGATTCAGCTCAGCCCTGTTGTCAAGATCTGTTTTTCCATCTGCAAGGGCTTTGTTTAGAGGACAAACACAGCTGTAGTTTTGCCCTCGGAAAGCTTTTGTCCTGCTTGAAGCCTCCCTGGGAGGCTGGGAGCCGAGCTGAGGGGGATCCCATTAAGCTTTAAAATAAAAAAAGACAAGAAAAAGCACTCTGGAAGTCAGTGCAGGGTTTCCCCCCCCGCCCTTTATTCAACTTTTTCTCTTTAATAGGGGAAATTTGAATTCATCAATGACGTCGCGTCTTTGAAAGACCTCCAGACTGAACAGGAGATCCAGAGGTTCAAGAACGAAAGCTTGGGCATGGCCGTGCTTCACCTCTCGCACATCGCCATCAAAAAAGGCATCTCCCTTGAGGAAGTGGCCAGAAAATACAGGTGATTGCTTGGCTTTGCAGCCTCGGGGCTGGGGACTTTCTGCTCTGGGATTGTTTGAAGGGTTTCTTCTGGTTTCTCACCCTCTTTCCTCTCTGTCCTCCTCACCAGGAGTGAGTCTGGGGCTGTTTTAGGTGATGGAGAGATCAGCTGTGTGCTTTGCTCTAGGCACCCGTGAGGTCTTGCTGACCGGTTGTTCCTTTCCTCCACAGCTTCAAGGACTGCATCCCACGTTCCTTCTACCGCCAGATCCAGCAGAACAACTACCTGACCAAATTCCGCATGAAAAACGTCTTCAAGAAGTTTGTGCAGCGTTTCCAGCGGCACACGGTCAGCACCGGCAAGCTGACAGTGCAGGACATCATGTACAAATACCTGGCTACCTTGGAGCACCTCGCACCTCGCTTTGGGAGTGAGCTCTTCCCTGTGCTCTCCTTGGAGACCTCCTCCGAGGGTGAAAAGGTGCAGCTGTACGTTAACGGGGGACATTCACAGCTGGAGCACGGGCAGGCGCTGCTCCCCAAGGACCGACCTGTCACCCACGAAGTCCTTGTCACCGGCACAACCGGGATCCAGTGGCGGCCCGTACCTGTAGAGGTAGGTTGGTGCTTGCATTCCCCGCTGCCAGGCGGGAAGAGCCATTTCCATCCAAGTCCCATCCCACGCTGGCTCCTTTTCCTTAGCTCGTGCTCCTGGGCTTTTCCTCAGGCTCTCCGGGCACCCCAAGTTCCTTTTTCAGCTTGTCCCAGTTTGGCTAGTAGCCACGGCGACCTCGTGGTGCCATTTCCCAGCAGCAGGAAGGGTTGGAACTGATGCCCTTCTGTCTCCGCCTCTGCAGAGCATCGAGAACTTCTCCCATCGTGGGTATTTTGGGAGGAAGAGCAGAAACAAAGAGCTGGAGCCCAAGGGGCCGACTCAGCCAGCAGAGCGGAGCGAGCCAAAATGGGTCCATTTCTGTGATTTCCGGGAGATCACACACATTGTCGTCAAGGACTGTAGGGTCAGCATCAACCGGCAGGACAACAAGTGCCTGGTGAGTGGGACTTGTTCTCTCCCAGCTGCCCGCGCTGACTGTCTCGACGTACGTGGGAGCCCGTAGTTGCGCTTCAGAGACTGGGAGGAGGCAGTGCTGGAAAGAACAAGGATCTTTTCCAGGGTTAATGCCAACAAGCAAGAGTTTTACGCTCTCCTCCTTGGGCTGGCAGAGGGATAGGTGGATTTTGGGCTGCTCACGCTCTAGCTCGGTGGCTTCTCACGCTCAGTTCCCCTCCCTTTTCCCAGGAAGTGGTTCTCCCATCCCCTGAGAGCGCGCTTTCCTTGGTTTCACTGGTGGATGGTTATTTCCGACTCACGGCTGACTCCAGCCACTACCTGTGTCACGAAGTGGCACCGCCGCGACTCGTGATGAGCATCTTGAATGGCATCCATGGGCCCATGCAGTAAGTGGCTTCTTCCTGACGGGGGGCCTGGGGATATCAAGGAGGATGTGCCGTGTCCTTGGGGCTTATCCGAAGCTGTTCCCCTTTCTCCTTGCTGCCAGGGAGGAGTTTGTTTTTGCCAAGCTACGACGGGAGGAGCAGGAAGAAGGGCTCTACATCATCCGCTGGAGTGTCCTTGACTTCAACAGGATGATTCTCTCCGTGGTGAAAAGGGGCCACCAGCAGGTAAGATGCAATTCCCAGTGCAGCATTCCTGGGAACGGCGAGGTCTGGGCGGTGCTCGTCTTGTTAGGAACGAGCTGGGCTGCGCCTGGTCTGAGCTGCCAGCTTTCTGGGTGACGCTTTCTGTCCTGACTGTCTTTCCTAGGCTCCTGGGGTGCAGGGAGCCCTCAAGTACAGGCAATTCCGGATCCAAAAAAAAGGAAACTCCTTTGTGCTGGAAGGGTGGGACCGGGAGTTTTCCACTTTGCGGGAGCTCTTGGATGTACTCAAGGGCTGCACGCTCAAATCTGGCGATGAAAGCTTCACGGTGAAGAGATGCTGTCCACCCAAACCAGGAGGTATGAGGATGGATGATCTTCCCTCCGTTGGACTCGAGGAACAAGGGCGTCCGGTAGTTTCAGGGGCTTTAGCATATGTCTGTTCCCTCCTCTTGCAGAGATTTCGGACCTGCTGATCATGCGGAAGGTGAAGGATAGCACGAAGCAGATCCTTAACCTGACCCAGCTCAGCTTCCACCAGATCCGCAAGAACGAGATCACTCAGGTTGTGCGCTCTGCCCGCCTGGGCAGCGGGGTTTATGGGGGGCTGCGGGTAAATACGTTGGCCGGAGGAAGCTGCTCCCCTGATCAGGGGGATGCTGCCCCTGGTGCAAAGAGGAGAGAGAAGTGGAGCAGTTTGGTTTGGCGCTTTATTCCTTCCCTCTTCAATGAGAGGGGGAAGAGAGCTGTTCAGAGGCAGCATGGTTCAGGCAGGAGGCAATTTCTTACCTGCCATCCACAGCGGTGTGCAGAGGTGACACAGAGGGAAGTGGGGAGAGTCAGCTCGCACTGAAAATCGCACTTGGGGCTGAAAATCCCCCCCCTCCCCATGCACAGTGCCTAGAGGTCTGACACCCATGCGCCTTCTCTGTCTGCCTGCAGCGAGCCCACCTGGGGCAGGGCACCCGCACAAACATCTACGATGGGGTGCTCAACGTCTGCGGGACCACCGGGGCTGACGACGAAGCTGAGTATTTCTCCACCGAGCAGAATAACAACAGCCGGGAGATGCACGTGGTCCTCAAAGTCCTGGATCCCAGCCACAGAGACATTGCCCTGGTGAGCCCCCACCCGGGCTGGGGAAGGGGAGCTGGGACAGGGGGGAAAATGGCTCCAAGCCACTCTCGAGATGCTCCGAGAGACCCGCTGCCTTCATGACACTCTCCTCTCCCCGCAGGCGTTTTTTGAGACAGCCAGCCTGATGAGCCAAGTGTCGCACGTCCACTTGGCTTTCGTGCACGGAGTCTGCGTGCGAGGTTCCGAGAGTAAGCATGCGGCTCTCCCCCAACCCTTTGCCGCAGCCGGCCTCACCTTGTGCTGGTGCCTTTCCCTTGGCCGCTGCCAGCCGGGCCTATCGGCTCCTGTGCCGTGCCAAGGGCTGGGCTGAGGAAAATATTGTTGTCTTTTGCAGATATCATGGTGGAGGAGTTTGTGGAACATGGACCTCTGGATGTGCTGCTGCGGAAAGAGAAAGGCCGGGTCACCGTGGGCTGGAAAATCACCGTGGCCAAGCAGTTGGCTAGTGCCTTGAGCTACCTGGTAATGGGGCTGGGAGCTGGGGTTTTTCCGGCAGGGAACTGTGCCGGAGATCACTTCCAAGCACCTTTTGCTCCAGCTGCGCCCCTGGGTCTTGCCGGCAGCGTGGCAGGGAGGATCTGCCACGCTTTCCCCTGCCCTCCAAGCAGATAAACAGATTTTTAGCATTAACGTGCCCTGCCTGCACCTTACAAAACCTGTCCTCACTCTCTCTTTCCTGGAGGTGAGCAGCTGAGGTAGCGCACGTGAACTTCAAATGCTGAATCCCGGTTCTTGTGGCTTCATTTTGGGGCCGTGCGAGCCGAGAAGAGCCGCCGATGAGGACGCTGCCTTCTCTGCTCGCTGGGCTTCTGGCCAGCAGCTTGGGAAAGCTCACTAGCTGCTTGTGAGGGCATGCATGCCAGCGCTGGGTAATCCTCGCGTTCCTTTTATTCTCCCCCCCGGGTTTAGCTTTGTGCAAAGGGATAATGAGACAGGGAGGTGACCCAGGTAATTAGAGCCAGGAGCCCTGCCTTTTTATTTTCTTGTGTCATCCATAGACTTGACCTTGTTCTGAGGCATCGGTGGGAGTTTCTCACAAGATTCCGTATCCCCTTGTTTTCACAGGAGGACAAAAACCTGGTGCATGGCAACGTGTGTGCAAAAAACATCCTGCTAGCCAGGAAGGGGCTGGAAGATGGATCCGTGCCTTTCGTGAAGCTCAGCGACCCCGGAGTCAGCTTCACGGTGCTCTCTCGAGAAGGTATACACTCATCCCGTGCTCGAACTGAGCGGGGCTGGACCTGTGCTCATTCTGAACCAAAAATCCAGGTGCTTTTTTTCCCCTCCTGCAGCCCAGGTAGCTAATAGTGTGGATTGCACCAGAGCTGTTTTGACAAGGTCTTGCCTGCCTGTCAGACCTTAATTTTTGCGATATATGGCATTTTGAATGTGTGGACGTGCAAATTCTGTGATGGTGGCCGGTTTTGGCCTCAAAGCTGCTGTTGGAAACAATCCCATTGCAGCTCCTTGATGGCTGGGATCCTGCAGGGAGCTTTTCCCGCCCCCCCACCCCCCCCACCTTGTTTATGGGGTCTTTTCAGCTGTATCCTCAGCAACGCCTCACTTTGCCTTCCCTCTCCCAAAGAGCGCGTGGACCGGATCCCCTGGATCGCCCCGGAATGCGTCTGGGATGTGGGAAACCTCAGCACTGCAGCTGACAAATGGAGCTTTGGCACCACGTTGCTGGAAATCTGCTTCGACGCCGATGTCCCACTCAAGGAGCGCACTCCTTCGGAGGTGACTTGCTTTCTCCTCTCTCTCCATCCCCCATTCCAGGATGGATCTGGCCCCATTTGAGACCTGTTTTTCTTTCTTCTCTCTTAGAAAGAACGTTTCTATGAGAAGAGACATCGCCTGCCCGAGCCGTCCTGCAAGGAGCTGGCCACCCTCATCTGTCAGTGCCTGAACTACACCCCCGTCGAGCGGCCGTCCTTCCGGACCATCCTGCGGGATCTCACCCAGCTCCAGCCGCACAGTGAGGCTCCACAGCCGGGGACATGCTGGTTTCTCAGGGGTGTGGGGTTGGGGGGTGGTGTTTATGGCCCCATTGTTCCCTCCGCACCCTGAATCGTCAGGGCCTTGGCAGTGGCGGGGCGGGGGTGGCTGCGGACACTCTTTTGTGAGGGGGGGAAAGGGGAAAAAAAGGGCAAAAAAGAAAGGAAAAGGTTAAAAAGGGGCAAAAAAGTTAAAATGTTTAAAAGAAGGTTGAAAAAGGAAAAAAGGGGGGGGGAAGGGGAAAAGGCAGTGATAGGCAAAAAGGGAAAAAAAGGAAAAAGGAAGTGCCAAAAAAGGCAAAAAAAAAGGCAAAAGGGGAGGTAAAAAAGGGAAAAGGCAAAAGAAAAGGCCAAAAAAGGCAAAGAGGGAAACAGAAAGAAGTAAAAAAAGGGAAAAAAAAAAGAAAAAAAAAGGAAAAAGAGGGGAAAAAGGTAAAAAAGGGAAAAGAAAAGGCACTCTTCGGGGCGCAGGGGTTGAGAGAGAAAACGTGCAAAGCATCTCTGCGGCAGGGTGACCTCTGCTCTCCCCTCAACGCCCTTTCGTTTCCAGACCTGGTAGACGTCACCTCGGTGAACCCCGACTTCCCGGTGTCGGACCCCACCGTCTTTCAGAAGCGTTACCTGAAAAAGATTCGGGAGCTGGGGGAGGTAAGTGGCATCTCGACACCCATCACCCCCCTCTGTAATTCTGCTCCCAGCTCTGGGGCGCTCAGCAGAGGAAAGAGAGGGACCTGTGGGAGCGGGTCTGGAGGAGCCCACAGAGCTGATCCGAGGGCTGGAAGAGTTGGGGGTGTTCAGCCCGGAGGGGAGACAGCTCCAGGAAGACCTTCTTGTGCCTCGCGGCGCTGCCCAGAAAGATGGGGACAGACTCTTTCGGCAGGCTGGCAGTGCTGGGACAAGGGGGAAGGGGTTTCGGCTAAAAGAGGGGCGATTCGGCCTGGCTCTAGGGAAGAAATTCTTCCCGCCGAGGGGGGTGAGGCCCTGGCAGAGGCTGCCCAGGGAGGGGGTCGATGCCCCGTCCGTCCCTGGGACCCTTTGGGGCAGGGCTGGCCGGGGCTCTGAGCACCCTGGTCTCGGTGAAGACGGCCCCGCTTGTGGCAGGGGGGGTTGGACGGGCTGAGCTCCAAGCGTCCCTTCCCACCCAAACCGTCCCAGGATTCCACGATCTCCTGCCCCAGCTCTAAGGGCTCTGCAGGGTCTGAGGTGGGATTGCGCATCCAAAGAAGAGCAACGAAGCTGGTGAAGGGTCTGGAGGACAAGAGAAGGGGCTGAGGGAACCGGGGTGCTTTAGCCTGGAGAAAAGGAGGCCAAGGGGAGACCTCCTCGCTCTCTACAGCTACCTGAAAGGAGGTTGTGGCGAGGTGGGGGTCGGGCTCTTCTCCCAAGCGACAGGACGAGAGGAAACGGCCTCAAGTTGCATCCGGGGAGGTTTAGATGCGATATTGGGAACAATTCCTTCACCCAAAGGGTTGTTGAGCACTGGAACAGGCTGCCCAGGGAAGGGGTTGAGTCACCATCCCCAGAGGGATTTAAAAGACGTGTAGACATGGCGCCTGGGGACACGGTTAGTGGTGGAGTTGGCAGTGCCAGGTTAATGATGGCACTCGGTCATCTTAAGGGTCTTTTCCAACCTAAACGATTCTATGATTCTAAATCCCCGAAGGAACTGATACGATATATCCCCAACGGACCACGGAGCTGATAACGATACTGAGGGCAACTTAAGACCTTTTGGGTGGGTCGGGGAGCACGGAGGGGCTCGGAGCTGGTCAGGAGGACGTTTCCCTTGTAGCAGGTTATCATGGTGCCTTGCGCTGCTGCGTGATTCATACGCTCCGGTCGCCTCTGGGTGAACCAGCCTCTTTCCGGCCTGATTTCCAAAGAATCTGCATTTGGACGAGGGTCAAAAGTGTTTATATTTTAAATCTGTTTTCACTGAGGACTTCCCCTCTGTCCGAGAAGTTTATTGACCCCTATGGAGGGCTTCCAAAGAGGCTGTTCTTGGTGTGGGGAAGCCGGGAAAGCTTCTCCTGGCAGGATCTCAAATTCTGTGCTTGCTCCTTGCCAGGGTCACTTTGGCAAGGTGAGCCTGTATTGCTATGACCCCACGAACGACGGGACGGGGGAAATGGTGGCCGTCAAATCACTCAAATCTGGCTGCAGCCAGCAGCTGCTGACCAGTTGGAAGAGGGAAATCGAGATCCTCAAGACGCTTTATCATGAAAACATTGTCAAGTACAAGGGTTGCTGCAGTGAGCAGGGTAAGGTGACTGGGGGGATGCGTGGTGACTTCGGTGGCAGCCGCGGGGCGGTTGCTGTCTCTCTCCCCGTCCGAGTTTTTTCCCTCGGCATCATAGTTGAATGCCAACGGCAGAGCCCAAGCTTGCGTTGTCCAACCCCCGGTGCCGGCGCAGAGACGCTCAAAACCCAATTCCTCAAGTTTTTTGGTGGCTGGTAGTGGGGGGGGGGATCCCCTTCCTGGCAGAGGGCTGGGATTTGGGATGTCTCTGGGTTGTTCCTCTCTCCCCACGAGGTTCACACACTGCCTTCCGCCTCCTCCAGGAGAGAAGATCGTGCAGCTGATCATGGAGTACGTGCCCCTCGGCAGCCTGCGCGACTACTTGCCCAAGCACAACGTCAGCCTGGCCCACATCCTGCTCTTCGCCCAGCAGATCTGTGAGGTAAAGCCTAAACCTTCCTGGCTTCTCCTGGGGGCTCCTCTGCTTCCCCAAATGGCTCTGACCTCCCTAAAATGTCTCTGACCCCCCTCTTTTCCCCCTTCTCCAGGGCATGGCCTATCTGCACTCCCTCCACTACATCCACAGGGACCTTGCTGCTCGCAACGTGCTGCTGGAGAATGAAAATGTGGTGAAAATCGGGGATTTTGGTTTAGCCAAAGCCATCCCCGAGGGCCATGAGTATTACCGTGTCTGCGAGGATGGGGACAGCCCCGTCTTTTGGTGAGCACAGCTCCCCTCACCGTGGGGGGGTGGTGGTTTGGGGCGAGCGGAGGATGGCGTTGGGATTGGGTACGGTGAGCAGAGGCACGTGCCGAGCTGTGCCGGCGCTCACCGGTGGCCTTGACCGCGCAGGTACGCCGTGGAGTGCCTCAAGGAGTGTAAGTTTTACTACGCGTCCGACGTCTGGTCCTTCGGGGTGACTCTCTATGAGCTCCTGACCCGCTGCGACTCCAGCCAGAGCCCTCCCGTGGTGAGTCCCACGATGCCGGCTTTACTGCAGCGGCGCTTGCCAAGCCAGCGGTTGAGGTTGACTTTTTCCCTCTTTCCCCAAAGAAATTCATCGAGATGATCGGGGCGACGCAGGGGCAGATGACAGTGCTGCGGCTGATTGAGCTGCTGGACAGGGGGAAGAGGCTGCCAAGTCCCAAGGACTGTCCTTGCGAGGTGAGGATCTGCATCCCGCTGGCTGTCTGTCTGTCCGTCCATGCACTCCGCTGGGCTGCGACGGCCCCTGGGAGAGGGGGAAAATGGGGAAGGGAAGGGGAAAAAGTAGGGAGGGAGAAAGTGGGGGAGGGAAGGGGAAAATGGGGAAGGAGGAAAATGAGGAAGGGGAGAAGATGGGGAAGGGGAAGGAGGAAAAAGGTGGGGAAGGGGAAAAGATTGGGGAAGGAGGAAAACAGGGGAGGGGAAAAAGTGGGGAAGGAGGAAAATAGGGAAGGAGGAAAATGGGGAAGGAGGAAAAATGGGTAAGGGGGAAAGATGGGAAAGCCTTCCTACTGCTGCGGGGGAGAGGAGGGACAGGTGAAGTCAGGGGTCCGAATGCCATGGGCAGAATTCCAGAAGTGAGGAGCCCCCTCTTCTTATTCCCCATGAAATCCCGGTGGCCGTGCTGCTTCTGGACATTTCTCTGTCTCCCTTCCCTCGCTCCCCTCCCCAGATTTACCGGCTGATGAAGAACTGCTGGGAAGCAGAGGCTTCCTTCCGCCCAGCCTTCCACAACCTCGTCCCCATCCTCAAGAACTTCCACGAGAAATACCGGGCTCAGGCTCCCTCCGTCTTCAGCCTCTGCTGAGCCAGATTGCTGCCAGGATTGGGGTGGGGGGACATCCCCAAAACGCCATGACCAGATGCCAACACTGCTTTCTGGTTTTCCCGACGGCTTTTTGGCACGGGATGAGGAAACGTCGGGCTGTCACGGTGAGCGTCTGGCAGAGCAGCACCTGGGGTAGGGGGGAACCCCCCCTTCTCCGTGGGACACCCCCCAGCCATGCCGTGTCCATCCCGCTCCAGATCCCCGGCCATCCTGTGCCTGTCCTTACTGCGCGGCACAGCACGCTGCGGCATGCTTCTCCCGCCGAACACTGTGAATGAGACTGTGGGGAAGGCAGCGGGGGGGGGCAGATTTACCGCCTTACACACCCCCCCCCCTTCCTCGGGGAGCTGCCGAAACCCTGCTGGGGGGGCACCTTTGGGGAGCGTGGGGTGCTGGATCTCCTTCCTGCTGCCGTTTGGGGTGCCCCCCCTGCCAAAGGACGGGGGTTCAGCAAAAGAGTTTGGCACTTTATTGGGGTTTGGGGTCTCTGCTGCATTTCTGCCCCCCCTGCCCTGAGTGGGAGTTGGGGGGGGGAGGTCCCACCTCACCCTGTTCCCCCCCCTCACCTTGCCCCGGCTCTCACCCCAGGACTGTTTTTGGGGTGCTGGAGGAGGGGGGGGCTGGAGGAAGAAGGGGCTGGGTGCCCCCCTAAACTGTCTGCAGCAGGGGGGGGCTGTTTCCCCCCCTCTTCCCTGTTATTTATTGCCTGCTGTCTGACCCCCCCAGGGAG